CTTCTGGAGTAGGACTACCAAATGGAAAACAGCTAAGTTCTTATCATATAATTCGTGATGTGGCGATAAAAGTGGAGAGACTTAGATCCCGAACATGTGCATATGAAATTGACGACCTACACATACTCAAAACATGCGAGACTTTTGTCAGATCCCAAGCTTATTGCATTATTGAAAGACACGAACGCCAGCTATTGTACCCTTCAAGATGTCCCCGTCTTTTTCGAACACTCGCCCTAGGATCCTGCCAGCCCCACTCCACTCTGAGAGGAAAAGGGTGTTGATTCATGGACGGATTGACAGCCTCTATAATTAGAATTCTCTAAAGTTAAAGTTATTTTGAAAACATTAGTGACAAGTGAATTAGATGACTCAGATCGGATGTTGTTTTGCCTTGGGTCCATCCACACATTCACCCGTCCACCGTGCATAGCTGCCGAGCCAACCGTAACCATGGCTCCGGCCGCGCATCTGTCGCCCGATACCGACACTCCCTGCTCTTGTCGTGCGAATGATGCCTCCGTCTCCAAGCACCCATCGTGCCACTGTCCCTCGGCTCTTTGCATGCTCTATTCGTCACAGGTCGAGTTTTGGCTCAAGGACATTGGACCTGGTGACAATGAGGGGGTCGCGGCCATGGAGCCCTCCTCCATCCGCGAAGATGACGAGGCAAGAGAGAAAGGTATTTTGGTCAATGGATAATTTACTAATTAAAGTCATCCCCTTATATATATATTTTAATCAGTAAACAAATGAGATAAAGAGAGCTATAATGCGGTTCAATAACGGTGCACGCCTGGTAGGACACCCCTTTATAAATTTAGAAGATTCCAATCCTAATTTGGAACAGGCTCCTTATGTGCGTGACACACATACACGCACAGAGTGTCACATGTGGCATGATATTGCATAAGATTATTCAAGGTTCACCAGTTAACATGGCAGAAGGACACGAGAGAGCTTCGTATGTCAGTAATTAGGCCGCTCGTGTGGCCTTTTTTGGGGGGCGAACCCTCTCATGTGATGAGGACCTTCACATTTATTATTTTGGAATGTGTAACATTTTCAAAAACTCTGAAAGTTCATTCAATGTAAAACTACAAGTTGGGAATTGAGGAAAATAAAATATTGGCTAAAGTATAACTTTGGTTTGGACTTCTTAGATTGCGATCAGGTTGGCAAACTCATTGTGCGATCAAATAATTCCATCACTCGTTATATAGACAAGAATTGGAAACCTATTCAAACTAAGTAATCACTCACATAGAAAACCTGCGTGGATTGGGAAAATTTCTTTTTCAAGCTCAAACTCGAAACATGTTTTTTTCAATATGTACCTTGACTCGATGTTTATCGTTTTTCTGGAATTCGAACTTCGCTTCTATCTCTCATAGTCTCAACTATCACAGACAACTTTCAAGCCACATTTGAATTTCGCCATAAATGTGGACCACATTAGAACACCAGCTCCATCTGCACCTTTAATCGCCCCCAAAAGGATTTTTAGACACAATGTCTTGTACTAAAAATAAAACAAAACCATCGTTACATCCATATATGTCAAGAGATCGAAGGCGTACCTTGTCAAATTCAACAGCTACAGAAACTGTTGGCTCTATAGGCTCCACCTTGCTACATGCACCATATGTGTCGGTTACCACGCTAACGCCCACTACCTCGCCAAATTTTTTGTTGCAACTCTACCTTAAGCTAAATACCGTCCATATCAGTGTAAACATTGTCAACAACACTTTTACCCATAAATATTGAAGACTCGTCAAACGTAACTTTTCTACTAACAACAAGTGAATTTAATTCCAAGCACCACAATCGATAGCCCCGCTCACCTTGTACAGCCTAGATATAGTACTTTCTTCATCGAGCTTACTATTACTCACTCGAACATAATACGAACAACCAAATATTCTAATAATAGATTTAACAACAAGATTACCTGACCATGCTTGTTCGAGATTTCAACATCTAATCGCAGTCGATCATGATCTATTAACCAGGTAGCTCACCATACTAATCGCATCCATCAAGAATTTTCTCGCTATACCAGCACTAAAGAGTAGTTTTTGGGATGTCTCTAGTAATGTTCTAATCATCAACCTTGTAATATGTTGTGGTTCACTGACATTAGTGTGGTGTCTCACTATGCCTTTTTTCATGCAAAATTTGTTGATCTTCTTACCAATCTCCTTTTCGATCAAAGTGCTCAATTGTCTTATCCCAACAACAACATCAAACTTGTACCTCTGTACAAACATCCACAACTTTTAGCATAAATCTATCACTTTTTCTCAAAGAAAATCACGTCGGTTTACGAACATCTAAGTGAATCACTCTTCAATCTTTGTGGTTTCTCTACTAATTTTACTGAGCTGCACTTCTCATTATTTGCCCGTGACACAGCACCAGTATACATACAGTTCTTAGGCCACATAATCATATAGCAGATTCCTTTCTCGTAAAACCTTTAAGCTTTTCTTACCAATGTGCCCCAAACGTATATGCAACAATTCAAACTTGCAAACAAATGCATTCAACATCTCCACAACAAAATTCACCATTATCTCACCTTGAAGCTTACAAGCCACTGTGCTTAATTCATCTCATTATCACTAAGGCAACTCAAATAACCTTCAAAACTCTACCTTCTGAAGTATACGACCACCCAGCTCAATCTAGGGTACTCAAGGAAATTAGGTTCTTCTTCAACTACAGAACACACATCACCCTGTCAATATCCTTAAGTTACCATCATATATTCTGATTTTGACATCACCAAAACCCACAACATCGTTTCCCAATTGCACTTTACCACTATTCGTGCATTAATAAGTAGTAACCCATTCCTGTTTGATGTAGCGCGAAACTAACAGCCAAAATCCATAATTCATCTGTCAAACAATGAATTATCAGTGATAGATGAGACATAGCCAACACTATCCAAAGTATAGTCAGTTACAGCCGCAACATCATTTATAAACTCAACTCCAATTCCCTTGCCATTCTTGTTTTTCAATTTAAAGTAATCTCTTCTTATATGTCCCCTCTTGTCACAACTCTAACAAACAACACCAATGATCTTATATTGACTTCGTCTATTCACATTCACACTACTCCTACTAATACGAGTACTAGATCTCTCTATCTTCACCAATGAAAGTAGTAGACATAGGTTTACCAAATTCTCTCTTCGAAGTCATCACTTAGAGTCAAGTGGCGGACCTCATTAAATTTTAAGCTTCAGTAATAGTAGTATCCCAACTATTGGGTAATAAGGATAATAGGATTAAAGCACCTACCTTATTATTTAAGTCAATCTCAACTAAACTCAATTGGCTAAATACCACATTGAATTCACTCATATGCTCAATAACCAACATAACTTCGCCCATCTTTTGAGTGGAATAATGTCGTATCAAGTAGACCTTGTTGATCGCAGAGGGCTTCTCATACATGTTCGACAGCACATTCATCAACCTCATGCTGGTCTTCTCTTTCACAACGTTAAATACGACGTTACGAGACAACGTTAGTCAAATAACACCTAATGCCTAATTCCAATCAAATTCCTTCATTGAATATGATTTCTCCCTAGATAGAGGTAAGGGCAAATTTCTCTAGTAGAGATTATCCTCAATCGGTATATTCTAGAAACCAAAACCCTTCACATCAAATCTGTCGATGGTTACTTTTCTTTCTTTTGCCGCCATTGATTCGCTTCAACTCAGTCAAACTTGGCTCTCACAGCAATTGTTGTGGAAGCGATCAAACAATAAAATAAACAAAACGAAGATATAGACCAGACACGAGATCTACGTGGTTCGATCGATGGAACCTACTCTACAAGGAGAGTAGCACACACTTCCACTATAATTAAAGCGGTACAACGAAAATTGCAACTACACTTTAGTCACTCAAATACTCATAGTGTTTCAAAGTACTTAATTACACCCAATAATTCACAATAGTTAAGCATCACAATTCCTCGTAAAACAATCTCTCAATCTCATAAAGAAATTCACAAATTTTACCCACGAGATTTAATTGACTTCAACACTCTCAAATTGATTCATAGTGTAATTTATGAAGACGCAGCCTCTTGGATATTCTTCCTATTGTTGGCTCAATAAAAGTTGACACATGATGCTAACACGAAACGGAGATAGACAAACCTTAGTATCTTGCGCGAGAGAGAGAGAGAGAGATCACCACTAGCAATGCAGTGATCTTTGTCAGACGACGGCGGTTGTGCGAATGATGCTATCAGATAAATGAGAATCTTGAAGGACACTGGCTTCTCTACCGCTAGTGAAGTACCATCACAACATATAAGTTTCGATGCCGTTAAATCGATTTGTTACTTATTCTCTACAAGTTTCATACCTCATGCATAATGAATTAGAATGGTCTCTTTTTTTTCATTCCAAAAGCATTGTCGGGTTAATGCCGCGAACAAAGTGCAACTCGCCTTTGTCCGCAGACAAGGGAATTCATCATTCACACAAAACCGAGAACGATGCTTGTATGTCTTCGCATTACAGCTTCGTGTTATACCTGATATCCCCCGACGGTTTGCTGTTAATGACATCTTTCTGTACAACCTGATCAAGATAGATCGATATCGTCAATGCTGCACAGAGAAAGGCTTAGCAAGAATTAGGTTGATGAATATTTGGCGCTTCAACCCGTTATATTCCCAAAAAGAAGGAAACAGATTAAGAGCCGCAGAAAACGATGAGCTAAAATTAGCTTGAAGCCAGAAGAAAGAGGCATGCACATTCATGGCTTTCCTCACAAACAGCATGCCTTCACCTCCGCATTGACCGCTCCATCCTAAGTTAATCGACCCAACTCTCTTCAAATTCTCCCCCCAACAACGTTGTCTCTTTCACCTACCAATTCTGCAGCTGTTTCTCTGTCAAACCTAAGAGAAAACATCTGCACGAATATCTCCGTCCCCCGAAAACTTGAGCAAAAGCCGAAAGATGGCACGTCAACTTGTTGTCCTCGCCCTAGTGCTCATTGCCGTCCTCGGCTTGGCATCCGCCCAGGCACCAGCCAGCGCCCCGGTTGCAGTCTCCACCGGCGCAGCGTCGGCCCCCGTTGATGACAGCACGATCGGAGCCATCGACGAGGGTCCCGTCAGCGGAGATGACGCCGTCGAGGCCCCGATAGGCGGGCCCATCCCGGAAGGAGCTTTCCCTCCCACCGAAGACGGAACGGCCCCAGCACCTTCCACCGCAAGCGGCGCCACCGTTGCCAAGGTCTCCGCCGTCGCAGCAGTCGCAGCTGTCGCCGGGTACTTCTTTTAAGGGACGAACTACGATAGCTTTCATTAAGAATGTCAAAGAATATGGTACCTTGTTCATCACATAACGATTAAAGAACGGTGCCCTTCTAAGACGACCCTTTTCTATTTCATTTGATTTGTGATTGCTTGTTCATTCCCACAAAACGTTGATGAAGGTGCAATAAAAACGGGACACGCTTTTCGAGAGGAAAGCATAGCAATGAAAGTCGCAAAATGAGAGAACAAACAAATCTTGGGCGTCGATCTAATTAAAAGAGTCCACCACCGTCAAACAATGTGGTTGTTTAAGCACCAGGTTAGAACTCGACTATAGTACCTTAAGAAGGCGATGCACAGGTTAAAACCAGCTCAATACTCCGTACTCCCATCGTGCTCGACCAAGTTGCAGGAGATCCTACGCGCTCGATCAACTCACGGGAGACCCTTCGTGTCCGCGCGCTTCTCGCTCGCCTCGTTTGACATAGGAAAAAGAAAATGCAACGACTATCGACATCGGAGCGCCTTTCTAGCGAAATGATCTGTCCGAACCACATTTTGAATGTTCAAACTTTTAGTTCAATGGAGGCGGATAAGAAAGGAGGTCGTCATTCATCGAAATTGAGTACCTATCTGGTTCTTCAAAACGTCTCCAGTTTTGATTTTCAGTGACAATCAGAATGAATAATCTTTAGACTTCGTGAAAACGTATCAGGTATATGAGTATAATATTTTCAAACATGCGTAAACTTTATTTTTAAAACATATCTGGTCGTATTACCTTTAAAGGAAAATTTCAATTATCATCCTCACTTTTTTATACACATCAATTTGCATCCTCTTCCGACCAAACAAAAAAAATTCCGCATCCTCACTTTAAAGCTAAGAGGAGCAATGCGCCGTAAATTCACAACTTTCAGCAATCACTGCAGACATACATATCAGACGTTGCGAAAGTAATTCACATTATCTTATGATCCAACTCTGTCCAGAAAGAATCGAGTTCCGACCTCAAAATGTACGTCATCTAAAGTAATCGAAGAAGGAAATGGTAAAACCGAAAACAAAACCTTCTATTCACTATCCCCTATCCATCTAACCTGCAACCTAAGAATGCAATTAAGCTTCTTCTGTATGTGACTGAATGAGAACTACCGGTCGAATCCGGCATGGTGAGACCTCTTGGCGGCAAAATCAGAGCCATCCTAATCTCCTATATCCTTAATGAAAGAATGAGCACCAGAAGTACATTCCTTGAAAGTAAGACAGAGCAGTAAAAAGGCATGTATTATACACCACCTCCGGACGCAATGGCAAGAGAATATACGAGTGTATGGCAGGGTCGGTCTCAGAGCTAAATGGAGGTGCCACAGTTGCAAATGGTCAAGCATTTCTGGGCAATTTTCACCAGGCATGTCAACCAAGTCGAGTTCCTCGTCATGTATCAATACATCCCCTTGAAAACTGGATTTGTACGGCATATGCTTGCCCCATACTCCTCGTACTCTGCTTTCGTATGGCAAGCCTGCACACATATAAAAACCGTTATAACCAAAGAATTCGACAAAAGAAAAAGGCATAATTTTAGATTCTTTCAACAGATTATAGTCACTATTCAAATGAACTACAGATTAAGTAATTCAACAAAAGTAATCCCAAGTGCATGGTCCTGAAAGAATAAAGAAATGTTTTTAAATGGTCATTTGTAATCCACAAGTAAGTTCATCCTCCTAAAAATTGCAAATACAATGACAGTCGAAGCTAAATGCGATGCAAAGAGAACGGCAGGTTCAGTCAAAGGTGGATTTAGAAAAGTACAATAGTGCAAGTCGAACCTTATACAATAAACAAGATTTGACCACATCAAAAACAGAATTAACTTATGAAGCACCGGAGAAAGAAACAGTCGATGTATCAACAGTTGACTCCTCTTCTTTTCTTTTGTTTTCTTTTCTTTTCTTTTTAGAATTGCTCAGTCGAATCTGATGCTCACGCATCAAGTTTTCTTTTTCCTTTTTTTTTGAAATGAAGAATGCTCTACTGATAGAAACCACAGACCGACCAAGAGTCATGAAGGATTCTACCCCTAGCTTAGTCAATCCACATGAAAGCCACTAGAAGCAGCTCTGGCGAAGTGGCAACAAGTGGCACCGACATTAAGAGGTATACTGATACAGGCAGAGGTCCATGGGAAAGGAGACTGAAATGGTGAAGCAACAAAGTTCTTGCCTTGAAAGGCACTCAACAGAGACTAGGACCGTGACCTAATTATATTGGTTGAGCCTGACGTTACTTTAGATTAAAGAACGCTTAATACAAGCAAGATGGCCATTGGACCTGTTGATGGTAACGAACAGATGGGACAGAAGACTAACAACAATGACACATGCCAAAGAAAATTCGCAATTGGAAGTGCTAGCAATTAGTGTGGGCATACGAGAACGGCCTCAAAACAAAGGCAAGACTGGCGGCTCTATGGATGGCGACACGGCTTGAGTGACCGACTGCATCCACAGATAACGACAGAGATTGATGGTGACAAAGAAAGTTTAACGAGTTCGCCATTGACTGTATGAGAGATTGTCAATAAGAGTCGTAGGCCAGGTGCCAAGGACTTGAAAACAAGTCAGCGACGAGATCAATGGCGAAGGAGAGTAATAATAATGAAAGAAGGTGGTGATCGATGCTGACAATAGATTAGGAGCATTTTTTTGTACTTAAGGCAAGAGGAAAACACAAAGCTAGGGTTTTTGTTTCCTCTCTTTCTTTGAGGCTTACAGAAACAGGGAGAGAGAAAACAAAAATGGTCACCTCGTTACTCACTTGACTTGAATAAGATTTCTAAGAGCTCTATTTATAGAGCATAGAAACACACTCATATCTGATACATAAATCCCTAACTTGATTATTTATAAACCCCACACTTCATTAAAAAATTTCCACCAACTAATCCCTAGTTCTGCTAAATATAGTTTAACAGATACTAAACATGTGTCTATCATTTCAAAACTCTATGGATGATTTTCTGGAAATTCGGTGTTTTCAGTCTTCAATTTTTTTTTTTTGTCGAAATGTTTTCGGTCTTCATTACATTGATCATAGAACAACTCAATCAAGTTCTGTAATTAAAATTCGGACTAAAATAATGATTTGACTTATGCTCTGCAGCATAAGTATTCAATACTAAAAATGCAAAGCCAAATTCCTAGTCTTATCAGACAAACCCTTATTCTCCCTTTACCAACAATCTTTCATAAGGTCTCAAGCATTAAGACCATCATACCCAACAATTCCGAGGAAGACCCTATTTAATTTTTTTCATCTTCATTCTATATAACACACTCCCTATGTTAAAGCAATTTTAAATAAACATCAGTAGCGCAACGGATACAGCATTAATTTCCACAGAACTCGATACGAATTGAGAAGAGTTCCAATACACAGAAGAAGGAAATCTAATCTGTGCAGTATCATGTTCCGACTACGAGAATAAGCATGAGTGACATACCTCAAAAAACTCGGGGGTCGATCCAAGTACAGAGCCCCCAAACCAAACAGCAAATTTCTGAATAGGATGGCTAACAACATTTACTTCTACTGGTTGTGCCTGAAGGCAAGATAAGAATGGCAAAACCATTCAGCCAATTAGTATGACAGGAAATAGGCTTAGTCGGTAGATCTCAAGGAGTTGATACAATCCAGCGAGCTCACTTTTACTTCACCACCAAGTCGGGCATCAGAAGCAAGAACACGGGCATCCACAATCTTTTTCAAATCCCGCTGTAACCTTCTGTGGAAATCCTTAAACATGGTAGATCCCCCAGACAACACAATATTCTGCAATCTCACAGAAGGAATTTGACACATACAAATGAGCCAACCAAGATCCTGGTCAAGTACTACATACAAACAATCCAACAAGTTTCAACTATTTCCATCCATTATTTCCTTGCAAATAGAGCTTTTCTTCGGTCTTTCAACTATATAAATGAATCTTCCATATGTGTATTTTAATCTTCTAAGTATACAATAAGTATTCCTGCATTTGCTCTTATTGGTTTCTGCAGAGAACTAAAATAAAACAGCTGTACAGAGAATATAAAGATCAATCTTATAAATGAGATGAGACTGTTGTAAGTTTATATAAGCATGTACTAAGTTACAAATATAGTTAAGGTCATTTATCATTATTCTAGACTAACAATACTGTACCTTGTATAATGCCCTCCGTGTGTCTATCGGTGCAGATTGAATGCACTTGTCAATGACAACAGGCAAAGGGGAAGAAAAGTCAGAGCTGTAGATCTCTGGATTAAAGAAAACCTGAAATCGAAACAGATTATTACTATAACAAAGATGCAGCAATAACTATATAAATCAACAAAGAACATTTTCAGATTGAACGTGTATACACATACTTTAAGAGAATGATAATAAGTAAGTTACGGATGAGCATCGGGTATATTTTGATTCCTTCAGCTTCGATTCACGAAAGGGTAGCTAGTCTTTCCCAATATCAGGTATTATTGAGTTGTCTGACAAGTGGAAACAAAGGAGAGAAGTGTGTTTCCAAAACCAGGTAGTTGAACTGGTTGAATTGGCAACAGAGCTTCAGTCTAATCGGATTTTGTACGTTCAGGTAAAAAGATGGATAAAAACACGCTGCTGACTCAGTTCAACAGGTATTTGCTCCTGACTTACAATTTGAAGGAGTATATCACACCAACTCAGATACATCACTTCTTAATACTCTAAGGACAAACAATAGCTATAAATAAAGAACTGGGATTGTATTTCCACCAAAAATAAAAAGTGAATCGGAGGCACATGAGTAATCAACCCAATGACCAATAATTTAGAGTACCGAGCACTGTGCCACCTAAAATGCATGGTCTTCCTTGTTTGAGAATGTACAATGGATAACATCAAGTTCACATGCAATGAACAAGCGGTCCAACCGGTTGAACAGCGAAACATAGCCTAAAGGGTTTAAAGACTGAACCGGTTTTGAAACCCATGGAAAAGGATAAAGGAAGAGATTTGAGAAGCTAACCTCAGGTCCAAGAAATCGTTCATATCCTATGTCACAAGTGTATGGTGCTCCTGTCTTTGGTTTAACACCTTTCCACTGCTTAATATACTTTGCTGGTTCCTTGTCATGCTTATTGAATTCCTGACATATCATTACCAAGTTTGAGTCTCATCAGAAAATAGATTCTAATCCTCAAGAGAGATACCTAGAAATGGAGAATCGGCATAAATTTCAAGTTGAGTTGACCTTGACAATGTCAGAACAGGTATAACAATAAGTTTCCTTCACTTTCCTCGCTACTTCAAAGGAATCCTCCGGTGGTACGTGTTCCCCTCTTTCCTACATGAAACAACATCCCTCCTCTAGTAAGACTGGCTGGACATTAATCATATCGTACCATGTTCAAATGATAAATCATAATGAATTAACACTAAAAAAAAATCAGGGATGTAAACAAACAAAAGTGTCAGGTCATGACTGGGCTTGAGGATTCATTTGAATGAGTAAATTTACTAGTAAAGATTATGGAAAAGAAAATCTATCGAGCATATGGAGAAATAAAGGAAGTTGAAGAAGTCTTCCTTTCTCAGATAAGTAGTTGGGGACATTGGAAACAAACGAATGGCTGCATGTGAAATTAAAAGGAAAGCAAGCATCATTGTCCATTCAAAGATACCATTGTGCTGGAAGAATACAATTTACTAGAAAATAGACAACATTAACTTACAAATAGGGAACTACATGAGATAGATTTCAGGAAGGTCACAGAAAATGCTGGTACTTGCCCAAAGCGAAGCAAAAATAATCTCATAAATAAGTTAGTCAGTAATGTCATCATGAATCTCAAAGTCATGCACAATCGCAACACGTAACCAAGTATGACAATAAGTGGGGTCCTAAGCTAAGCCTCGGCTAAACCTTGAAAATCTTAATGCCAGAATCCCTTTTAGATCTTTCCACGCAATAATTCTTGCTAATATAATCATTGGCATACTCAGTGATTGGGATTTTTAATGTTGAATCGTAAAAAAAGCATTAGCTCAAACTCTTATTTGGTGTCAAAACCTATTCCTTGACTTAAGAGAGGGTAGAATAGTGCCACCTATTCTAGGGCATGCGATGCATTGCAAAAATATTATCATTACCATCTTAAATCAAAGTACGCTAATTTATAGTCATTCATGCTCCCATTATAACCTACAACACAATATTCGCAAGATAGGATTGAGTAACTCAACACCACATCAACTAATCTTGAACATCTTGGATCCGAGCCTTTGTTTAGTACTATTAAAACACGAAAGTAATGGAAAATTTGGGTCCATTCTCATTTACTCCAATTAAAGACTGAATAGATTCGACCCATAGCACAGGATTCCATAACAACGTATGATTTTATGTGACTCAAATAGAAGTCATTACAATTTAACCAAAAGGGTGTATTTTATAGACTCCACAGCAAGGTTTTGAATGATTGGGCAATTTTTTCAACTTCAGTATTGCCTTCAGCAGGACACACTCCAAGGTTTTAAAAGTTTAATTTGTTTATTTTCTTCGAAAAAATTGCTCAAAACTAAGTTGAAGGCATATGAGGCTTGCAAAGCAAAAGGTCAACTCTTCTCAAGTCATTTGCAAGACAAAGTACTTAGAATCGGTGATTGTTGGTTAGTGATACATATGATTGATCAAAGAAGTCTCGAGTTGGATATCTAGTATGTATAGATTCCATTGTTGGTGAAAAGAAACAAAGCTTTTTGTAATCAGCCCACTAAAGTCAAATCACTAAACCAAACAATTGATTTTTATGGGGAGATTATTACGTACACTTGTTGTATACTTCTTTTCTCTCACCCACAATTATGTGAGAGAAGGCGTATACACTCTACGTGCGCAAAATCATATCTGGTTTTGTATTTTTGTTGCAATACTCCTTAATTTTTGTCCAAGGACAATTAAACTTACAGAATAAACTGTACGAGGCTATAACTTGTACAAGTGCAAATAATAGAAAACTCAACCAGCAAAATTTTACCCTCAACAAACTAACGCTGCCTTCCTAGGAAGAAACTTTTGCAATCTAAAGATTTCAGATCACAAGGATATGTGCTGACATGACAACAATCACATTCTTATTTAGACAAAGCAAGATTTAAGGATAAGGTACCCGCATGAGCTGTTGAATAAAGAGAGTAACATCTTTTCCAGAAATGGGTATTGACTTAATGCTGCTCCCAATAACATAACCATCAGCGACGGGCACAACGTGAGTAGCACCATCTCCAACATCCACTACAACGCCTGTCATCTCACACTAAGAAAAGCTATTGTCATTCTAAAGGAAAAGGAAGAAAAAAGAAGAGTACAGAAGATGAACAAAAGGCCTAATCGTTGTGGCACGGAAAACACAAGGACATCTAGACTATTTTTCATGCATTCAAAAAATATTGATTCCAATAAACTATTTTCTTAAGTATTCTTGAGCGTTAGACCAGAATATCTAACTTAATTCCCCACACAAGATCAACCAAACAAATAAGGCAATTGTTTATCTTTTCAATTATACCTAAAACCATGTAACCAGGCTATCTTTGTTAAGTAGTAAAACAGACAGAAATTTTAGAAAAAAGTCAGAACTCCATTCTAATCATTTGAACCATATCAAAACAAACCTATCCAGTAACATGAACAAAATAATTCAAATATTGCAGCAGTAAACGCATGTCAATGTCACAATTTCAGATTAAAATACCAGAGATTGTCCTAGGTGAAATCCACCATAGAACCAGAAGCCTTAAACAAAACTAACAAGCTTTAAACACACTCATTCCACAATCCATCAGATCATGAGAAGAATTAATCCTGGTTAGTTAATGGAAGTTAAAAGTAGGCAATCTGAAGATCATTAATGTTCAATATCAAGCAGTAAGCACGAGTCACTTAGATTCCAGTTCAAGAAAGCATCAATTACTGCTTCAGTTTAAATAGCCAAAGAAGGTTCATATCATAAATCTAAAAATCCAGAATACAGGCACCAAAGAGGTAACCTACACCCAATCAAGTTCAACAATCTCATGTCGCATTTTATTGAATGACTGTTCCATATGCAATACCCAAAAAGAAAAGGCAGAGATCACATGTACCGTGGAGTTTTATTAAAAGATTGAAATGTATCAAGAATATTGAGGTGTTGAGTTCGAGGTATTTCACCACAAGCTCGGATTTCCAACCCAAATGCAAAGTAAACCACACTCTTCAATGCATAAACAGATTGTATCTAAAAATGATTTGTTCTACTGATCTCAACTACCATAACCATATTTCAGACAACCTTAGCGCAATCATTTCTCCAAGGCCCAACTTACACTAAAGAGAGAAGATTGTACTGTTATGCAGCCAACCCTCCGTCCATTGCTGCTCAAGGATTCTACAAGAACTATGCTGATCTACCTGTACATTCTACCCACAGGATGCCTCCATTTTCAAGTTTATACAGGAGAAAGGACTACGAAGAAGTACGTTCTCGTTACTACAAAGGAAAATCTCCAGAAGCTGATCTCAAAAAATAGAGAATACAGACGGATTTGCCTCTAGAAATGACATGACTTGCACTAATGGATAAAAATGAGGAAGCACTTAGCAGTTTCATTAGCACTCTGAAATAAATCTTTCCGGGTGCTAATCACAGTGGAATTCCAAGAGGTCATTCAAAAATTTCAAAAATATTCCATCGAGACATCAACATCTTCCTACAGCACCAACTCCATTAAATATAGCATCTGCAGATCCTACAACTCTGCCATCGATAAAGATCTATAGAGCAAAATACCTTCCTCGTAAACAGTTTATCTTAGATGACTGAACCTTACGATAACTCCAGTCCAAACCATGTATTTCTAAAACGAATGTCTAAAGTTCAATGCAAACCTTGGAAGTGGTGTACCCAGCAGCAAGGGCGAGCACCGGCTGCACCGCAATGTAAAGCCCGGGAACATTGAAAGTCTCGAACATGATTTCGCCGGTGTACTCCCGACTCTCCGGAGCAGTGAGGGGACTCTCCGTCAGCAGGAAGTAGTGATCCTCCGGATCGCACCGCAGGTAATTGAAGATGCAATGCTGCCAGAACCTCTCCATCGCGTCCCAATTATCGACCTGCCCGTGCTTGATCGGGTAGGTCAGGTTGTAAATGCTGCTGGATCGGGATCTAGCGTGCGCCTCCTCTCCGATGTAGAAGTCGAGATCGGCCATGACCCCGGCGCTGTGCTGCGCCAGCCAATTGCTGCTCTTCGAGGAGCTCCGCGACTGGTTCTGAAACGACTCGTTCACCGCGACCACCGTAGGGACTATGAAGCAGGGCTCCACGTTACCGGCGAACCCCATCTTAGTGTACCTGCAGATCGAATTCCACGCGGAAAAGAGCCATTCAAAACCCCCACCGAATCGAGCTGAGGGGCTCGCTCGCTCGCGCGCGCGCGCCCCCCCACCGGCGCTGCATTAACAGCTCAAAATTGGCAAAAAACGGGGGCGGAATCTCACCCGGTTCCGTTATCGATGACGACGGCGGGGCGAGAGGCGGCGGGGTCCATGGAGAGAGAACGCGGGGAGGAGGAGGACGAGGAGGGAGCGGCGACGGAGATGGACCTGCGACAGAGATCCGACGAGAGAGCGCGGGAGGCAAGGGATCATGTTCAGGCGACGCGCCTACAGAAGCGCCGACGTCGTCGTCGTCGTCGTCGTCGTCGTCGTCGTCGCCGTCGCCGTCGCCGTCGCCGCCCCCGCCGTCGCGGCGGCTCCGGATGGCGAGCAAGAGGAGGCTTCCCCGAGCGGGCTCTCGTCGGCGTCGGCGGCGGCGGCGCTGCTGCTTGCTCAGGCGCGACGGGCGCGCGACGGGGAAGGAGGAGGAGGAGCAGGAGGAGGAGTAGGTGAAGTGGAGGAGTCGTGCATCGTTTGGTAGAGAGAGAGAGAGAGAATGGATGCTTAACTTGGGAATGAATCAAAATTCAAGATGAAGAAGAAGACGTGGACGACGACGACGACGAACAGCGAAAAGGACTGAGCAACCTGAGAAATTTTGCAGAAAGAAGAAAAGTTAATGAATTATAATGAGAGAGAGAGAACCAGAGAGAGAGAGAGCAGCAGCAGGAGGACAACGAACTCGGGCTAGACTCAGCAGCGCTTTGCTTGCTGCTTCTCCCTTTTGTTTCTGCTTTTTTGGGCCGGAGCCGGTTTGATTTTGCGAGTTTGACTCGGTGGTGCGCGTCCCGTGCGTGCGTGCATGGTACGGTGGCCCACTCTGGGCCGTTCGATAGGGGGAGACACTGGACGGTCGCTGCCCCGCGCGACGTGGGTGGGACCCGGCGTGACGTCGGATATTAACGACGTAAAACACAAGGTTGCTTGGCGACAGGTTCATGTTATGTCGTGTGTCCTCGCCACCATCGAAGTACACGCCTGACCGACCGCCGGACGAGCTCGGATCAGGCCCACCCCCGAGCTCGAGGCATCAAGCCCCGTTCACCGGGCTAGGCCTATATCTCACCCTTTACGTACTCTAGGTAGGAATGTGCCATTGCGATTTCAAATCTTAAACCGCCGTAGAAATTGTCACCAATCGATTTCTTAGGCTGATAGGGAAACTAAGGTAACGCATGATAACCATTCTGGTTCTGTCCAGAACTGGTTTTCTGTTCCCAGAAATAATTTTGGACCAGAAACCCGTTTGGTAACGCAATTCCATTTTTCTATTTCTGGAACAACTTTTTGTTCCAGAACCGATTCTGAACCAGAAATCAGAACCAAAAAAAAAGTAGGTTTTCTATTTCTAGACAAAAAATGAGAATCATTTCTGAGAGAACTCTTTCTTTAAAACACATGTTTATCTGGAAGTCACGATCTTTGAGATGGGAAAAAAAAGCAAAAAATCAAAAATTTCAAAACTTCACATAATGGTTTAGAATCTGTGGCTACCCACTTTGAGCGAAATTTAAATTTTTTTAGGTGCGGAAAAAAATCAAAAAAATCAAAAAATCAAAAATTTCAAAATTTCACAAAATGACTTAGAATACCTATGGCCACCCACTTTGAGCAAAATTTAATTTTTTTTAGATGCCAAAAAAATTAAAAAATAATCAAAAAATCTAAAATTTAAAAACTTGACAGAATGTCTTAGAATACCTGTGGCCACCCAATTTGGGCGAAATTTAATTTTTTTTAGGTGCCGAAAAAAATTAAAAAAAGCAAAAAATAAAAATTTCAAAACTTCACATAATGGCTTAAAATACATGTGGCCACCCACTTTGAGAGAAATTTTATTTTTTTAGGTGCCTAAAAAAATAAAAAATCAAAAAAAATCAAAAATCAAAAATTTTAAAATTTCACAGAATGGCTTAGAATAGCTGTGGCCATCCACTTAAAGCGAAATTTAAATTTTTTTAGGTGCCGAAAAAAATAAAAAATAAAAAATCTCACAGAATTGCTTAGAATACATGTGGCCTCCTACTTTGAGCGAAATTTAATTTTTTTTAGGTGCCGAAAAAAAATAAAAATAAGCAAAAAAGCAAAAATTTCAAAACTTCACAGAATAGCTTAGAATACATGTGGCCACCAACTTTGAATGAAATTTTATTTTTTTTAGGAGCCGAAAAAAAGAAAAAAAAGCAAAAAATAAAAAATTGCAAAACCTCACAGAATGGCTTAGAATACATGTGGCCATCCACTTTGAGTGAAATTTAATTTTCTTTAGGTGCCAAAAAAAATTAAAAATTAAAAAAAATTAAAAATAGCATTTGGGCACCTAAAAAAAATTAAATTTCACTCAAAGTGGGTGGCTAGAGGCATTCTAAGTCATTCTGTGAAGTTTTAAAATTTTTGATTTTTTTTTTGCACCTAAAAAAATTTAAATTTCGCTCAAAGTAGGTGGCCACAGATATTCTAAGTCATTCTGTGAAGTTTTGAAAATTTTGATTTTTTGCTTTTTTTTCACCTCAAAAAATTAAAATTTCACTCAAAATGGGTGGCCACAGGTATTCTAAGCTATTCTGTGAAGTTTTGAATTTTTTGAGTTTTTGAATTTTTTTGGGCACCTTAAAAAATTTAAATTTCACTCAAAGTGGGTGGCCACATGTATTCTAAACTATTCTGTGAAGTTTTGAAATTTTTGATTTTTTGATTTTTTTTTTTGCACCCAAAAAAATTTAAATTTCACTAAAAGTGGGTGGCCACAGGTATTTTAAGCCATTCTATGAAGTTTTGAATTTTTTGATTTTTTGATTTTTTTTTTTGAAAAAATTCAACAAATTTCCTATTTTCCCGAAATCTGAATTTTTTTTTTATTTTTTGGAAATTGTGATGAATTTTTCTAGAATTTTTCAGTTTTTTTTGGATTTTTTGAATTTTTTTGAGATTTTTAGGAATTTTTGGATTTTCTAATTATTTTTATTCCATTTCTAAAAAAATGGATTTTTGTTCCTGGAAATAGAATTTTGTATTGTTTATCAAACGGGTTTTTGTTTCAGGAAATAGAAATTTTGTGCTATTATCAAACGGATTTCTGTTCTAGAAATAAAAATTTTTGGTCATTATCAAACGGGTTTCTTTTCTCAGAAACTCATCCTGGAATCAGAAATAGAAAAATCTATTTCTGTTTCAGGAACTCATTTTGGAACAGAATGGTTATCATTCGCTGCCTAAAATTCTACTGTTAGGAAGAAAATCGACTAAATCATATTTTTTTTGTGGAGGCTACTATTCCTATCTACCCAGTGGTAAGCAGTCGAAATTACTTTATCCACTCAAGAGATCCCTAAGTTCCCTCTCTATTTTTTTCTTCCCAAGAGAGAAGAAATACGAAAAGAACTTATAGAAAGATCTCTTTACCGTACCGGAGAGTACCTTGCCCCCGTCTCTCCTAAATCGACTAATCACTTAGAGAGCAACAAATACACAAAACTAAATATTTAGGTCGTTGAGTTTGGTGATGCGTGACGGGGAGGATTAGCAAGTTCAGTATAGCATTCCTTGATTTTTAATCCTATCTGGGGGGTTTCACCGCCCACCTTCTGGTAAAATTGCCCCATCATGAGACAGACAACGACCCAACTCCATCATGCTATGTGTGATTGGTAACTCCATCATGCCATGGGTTATTTGGTGTCATTTCAAAAAGTGTGCAACGCATTCAGAGCTAAAGTCTCATGGATGAATCCAATCCATATCAATTAGACATTCGAATGACATTCAAACAAAGGAAGACGAATTCAATCCAAACAACATGTATAATCCATAGACCTCGCGGATATTCAAAATTCTAAGTTGATCCGGCGAGTCGCAAATCCGGTCCGACACGCAAAAAAGCCATTCCAAATCAAACAGGTGGAAGAATTCAATTAATATGTAAACAAATAACCCAAATTGTGTATAGTGATTTAAATTCAAAGTTAAAACAGCAGGGAAATCTAATCCCATCGAAAATCAACATATAAGCAAACGAGCATGAGTCCGATACCCAATTAATGCACCATGTTAATTCTTATTCGATGTTATGCAATTCAACGATGACAACGAGCAATTCGAAATCAGCATGTAATTTCAAGGCAGCATATGATTCAGAACATCATTTTTTTTTTGGTCAGAACATCATATGAGATGTCATGCATTTTTATGTGCTTAATCATGCATATGGCCTAATTTTATCATCAACATGCACAAATATTCAACATGTTATTCATCATCATCATATTGCAATTGACCTTTAAAAACAAAACCAATCATATTTAGTCAGCGTGCAAAACACTTAACGTGCAAAGCATAAAAGTTCATGATTTCAATGTACAATGCAATTGTTAAACTTACTCATGCGAGGAGGTATCCAGCTCTCGATGATCCTACAAAACTTGTCACAAAGCTGTATCCATATTCGAAAAGCATCTCATTGGCGCTTTAGTGGTGCATTCTGATTTAATTGATCATAATTGGATTTAGATAAACCTGTCAAAATAGATCATTAGATCATTTCTTAACTCATATTTAATAGGTTATGTTGTTATACATGTTATTTATACTCGGTAAATTGATCATAAATGGATTTAGACCCAACTCTATGGATCATAAATGAATTTAATATGAATATTAAGTGGGTTCCCAGCTTATCTAGACTCAACTCACTTCTGTGACTCTCTTCACTCTCTCTCACCCCTCACTTGATCTCGCGCTTGCTTGCTATGTACTCCCACCTCAATTGAGGTACAAGTTTTCCTAAATTTGGTTACATATGTTATGAATAGGATATGGATTGAGTATGAATCACTAAATTTGCATTGCATGGAAATAAGTTAAGGCGATTCGATCCACCCGTACGACATTTAGATTTAGCCTAGGAGAGGAATAAACAGTGCCCCTTCGGTATTTGACAGGCTAAAAACTCACGCACGGTTTTTTCATGCTACAAGTCAAGGATGAGGTCTTTCGGCACTTCCTAAGGACAACGTCAGATCATCCTAGATCATAGTGGTCTTTCCCAAGGTTTGTAAAGCTGCCTAGGCTTTGATTCTTTTGGACAGGGGATCTTGTTCCAGCCACAGAACGGGAGTTCGAGCCATACAAAAGAAGACCAACTGAAGAAGGAAAAGCCCCCAAATCGTTTCAATCCCAAGTTCTCGTCCTAAACTGCAGTACTAACGACATGAATGTCAATCGGTTGAGCACTGTCAATAAGGCATCATCCTTCCATTTCATCCATGAGATAAACAACTTCCTCACGGACTTC